GCGCGGGGCCGCGGCGCCCAAAAGCGTGTGCGTGTGTGGGTGGGTGTCCAGCTCCCCTCGCTTCTCTGTCGCATCCCCCGGGCTTCCTCTTGTCTGGTTCGACGGGTCTCTGTCGGCTGACTCTCCGTTGCAAAATGTTCGTCGCCCAGAAGGTTGCTTAAGCTCTCCCTGGGGAAAAAAATGACTCTCCCACCTCAAAACCCAAACGCACCTGCCCATACCCTGGGTCCACTCCCGGCTAACAGTTCTCGGCCGATTGGCGCTACCCCTGGGAACCCATTTGAACCTGCCTGGGAGGAGGGGGGGGAGAAGGAGGAGGAAGAGGAGGAGAAGGAGGAGGAGAAGGAGGAGAAGGAAGAGGGAGAGGAGGAGGAGGAGGAGGAGGAGGAGGAGGAGGAAGGAGGAGGAGGAGGAGAAAGGAGGAGGAAGGAGGAAGGAGAAGAAGGAGGAAGAGGGGGTAATTGGGAGGAGGAGGAGGAGGAGAAGGAGGAGGATAAGGTGGAGGAGTAGGAGGAGGAGGAGGACCTTGTTCTCTCAAAGTCATGCGCCGCTCAGTCCCCGGGGGATCGAAGCACCTCTCTGCACGCCGCAGGCTGCGCCTCAGCCCTGCGCCGGTCCCCTCTGAGCGGAGCGCACTTCCGTGCGCGCCGGCGCGCCCGGCGCAGTCCACGACCTGCCACGTCCTGCGGGACTTCGTCCCGCGCAGTTCGAGGGTGTCCGGCGCCCGGCGCAGCTCGAGCGCCCAGCGCAGTTCGAGCGTGTCCCGTTCTCACCGCACTCGCATGGGTGCCGTCGCCTCGCGAGAGGAGAGGGACGGCGCCGTGGTCCCGCCTCTTCGCTCTCTCCCTCCGCGTCGGCCCGTCGGCCCGCCTCGCTGGCGTCGCTTCACCCTTCCTGTCCCTCTGCCCTGGCTGTCGCTCTGGCTCCGCACTTCCCTTGGCCCTTGGCGACCCTGGCTGTCGCTCTGGCCCTTGGCGACCCTGCCCCTCTGTCCTGGCTGTCGCTGTGGCCCGTGGCGGCCCTGGGCGAACGTTTTCTTCTTCGGCGTCTGGACATTGAGCGGGAAGGGGTGGGAGGGGGGGGGGTCTGGCTCTGAGCCTCTGTTTAGCGCGACTGTTTGCCACAGTGCGTCCTATGAGGGGAGGCTCCACCGGCTTGGGGCAGGCGCCAAAGACAGCCAAGATCTACTCCATGGGTGTGAGGAAATGAGTGCGAGGGCCCGCGCCGATCGGCAAAACAATGAGTAAGGAAATGATCACCTGCCCTCTTCTGTGTTTCGCCTGCCATGACCTTGGACACAGTTTTGTCACAGACACGTCCGCTCCGCTGCCCCCTGCTGGGCAGCTCTAGGCGTGCTTCAGCTACCCTGGCCCGCCGACCGGGGCAGCGCGCAGACGTCCGCTGCAGCACCGTGCGCGGGCCGCCTGCCTACCGCCCGCCGGCGCTGGCGCCGGCGCTGCCGCCCCGCCTGCGGGGATCTCCCTACAGGCGGGGCGCTCAACAATTACACAATATGAGCACTACTCTCCTCTCTCCTCGGATAACGTCTGGATGATATCCACCCCCCCTCCGCGTGCTGTTCTTTTTACACACAAGAGTCACGGGAGCTGGGTTTTCGCGTGGGCTTGTTTGTCAAAACGTTGTTCCCGCTGACGCGCTGGCCTCATTTCCGCGCTTCCGTTCGTTCTGAATCGTGCTCCCGTTGCAGCGCTGGTCTTATTTCCGCGCTTCCGTTCGTTCCGAATAATGCTCCCGCTGCAACGCTGGCCTCATTTCTGCGCTTCCGCTCGTCCGGAATCGTGCTTCCGCTGCAGCGCTGGCGTCTTTTTCCCAGTGTCATGACACGGCATGGTTTTCGGTCCTTCCAAATAGGCCCCAAAATCAAGAGATTGCCCCCCGAACAAAACATCGGAAGTGATTCCACATTCGGTGTCGATTCGTGAATTTTTTGGGCCGCAGAATCCCCCCCCCTCCCCCCCCCCACTTTGGGGCATCGCCACGCCATGCTATGTCATGCTACGCGCTGATCTTCAACACCATGCTATATCATGCAATACTATGCCATGCTACGACATCCGATTGTGCGAATAGAGAGGAGATCCACACCATGGTAAGGGATGGGAGGGAGGGTAGGACGTCTGATATGACGCGAGCGCACGTAGCTTGTCTTCCTCCCCCTCTTCCCCCCCCCGCCGTTCTCTCTTCCCCCCCTCCCTCCGCGCGCCGACATGGCGCTCGCGAGACTGCCGCAGTTCGCAGCCTCTCCACGTGGTTGGGCACTTGGGCTTGGTCTTGTCGCCTGTTCCCCCCCACGGGCCGAGCATTCCGGTTGCAGTCCAAACCTTGACTGCTCACGAACTTGCCGTACCCTGTCACGTAGCACCAACCTGGGCGGCCTGCGGCCCTCTTTCTGTCGCCCAAGTACCTCGATTACTTCTTCGGCAGCGTCGCTGCAGTATGCACTTGCTTTACTCGCACTGGGCCCCGTTATCGCCCGTGGGTGCCCGGGCGCCGCGGCCCGGCAGCTGCATTGGATTCTGCTGGCGGGGCTGGCCGCGCCAGCACACTCGGGTGAGAGTCTTCCGCCTCTGAGTGGCCTTTTCTTCCCCCCCCCGCGGCCGCCCCTTCTGCCCTCTTCCCGCTCTTGCACGCTGGCCAATTCGCTTCTCGGTGCCCTCGTTTAGCTCTACCGCTGGTGCAGCCAACTCTGCCTCGCCGCCGACAAAAAAAAGCTTTGCTGGCCCGTTTCGTCCTGCACCAAATGCGGCGGCTGTCGCATCCACTTCCGCTTTGGTCCCAATTCACCCCTGCTGGTCTTTACCACCGCGACGCCGCGCGCGCGGCCGCCGACTGTGTGTGTGTGTGTGTGTGTGTGTGCGTGTGTCGGACCCCTGTCTTCTCAATGTTTTGGCTCCTTGCGCTGCAATAACGAGGCCGCCCGCATAATGCATGATGGCCAACATGGGTGCATGTGTTACTCCGCGTCCCCAGGTGTTTGGCCCTGCGGGATAGACCGAGCCCCCAAGCGAAGTGTACTGTCAAGGCTGTGGTCCCCCCCGAGGCGGCCCCACGGTCCTCTGGGCCGCAGTCTCGACAGCCAGGAGGCCAACGAAGATGCTCTGACTATGACCGTCATGCGATGGCCTCCCAGCTTCCTCGAGACTGCGCCCAGAGCACCCCAAAGGCTCCTCCACCCCCCCTCAATGAAACAGTGCACTCGAGGCTCTTTCTGGGGGGAACACAGCCCATAGAACTAGCCTCTTGTTTGTAGCTTTGCAGCCCGTGACGATTCAACATTGCTTTCGGTTGGCCTCTGGACGGGCCTGGGGCCACCCCAGCAATGCCTCCGCGGCCAACATTCCCGAAAGACAGCACAATGCCAGCACAAGACGCCCCTTAAAGCTGGCCGAATACGGCCCGAAGTTGTCTCAAATATGGCCCCTAGATCCCCCACCTGGACGCCCCTCGACTGCCTTGGGTGCCCCTCGAGAGCCCCCACATGCTTCCCGAGATGCCCCGACACGGTCCCACGAGAGGCTTGAAGCCGCCGCCGTGACATTACAGTGTTGCTACACAGCTTCCTCAAGCATCGGTGGTGAATATGCGCGGCAGCGCAATGGATGTACTGGTAGGTTGTACCAGTATGTCTGTATGTCTTGTCCAGTGCCCCCGTCTGCAAATCCATCCACGTGAGGCCCGTGTCGGTCGCAGATTCATGAGGGTCTTCCCGCCCTAGCATGCACCACAAACAGGCGATCGTGTGGTTGATCAATACGAGAATCACCGCGAACTTGCATATCCTGAGGAACGGGCCGGTGAGCGCCTTCATGAAAACGGTGTGAGAAGCATCACCCAGACGATCCATAATGCCACGGAGGTTTCGCACCCGCACCACCCCAACGAGCCGCATGATGCGCCCGATTTTGAATAACCTGATGAACGCCGCGGGAAGTGCGCCTGAGGACTCGGCCATGAATGTCTTCACAAGGAGACTCACGATGTCCACCGATATCGTTGCGAGATCCAAAACAAAACTACCCCGAAGATAGCGGCGAGCTATCTTGTTGGGAAGCATGTGTAGATGCCCATCTTCGTAGTAACCAGTTCTGAAACTCATCAGCATGTCGAACAACCAGAAGGATACCGATGCACACTCCAGGACTGCCCAAGGGTGGGCCCTGTCGTCGACATCAAAAGCCAGGAAGTACGGGATGGACGTCATGTTGTACGCCAGCACAAACAGGCTCACGAGGTCGAGCCAGGCCCGCACAGTCGAGGCTGGAGACAGCACTGTGTAGCGGGAGATCCTGCTCCAGTTGAACCGCATCCTGAACTC